TGGCCCAATCCTTAAATATACTTGTATATTTAATAAGTTACATGTCTAGATTATAGTAGTAAGTATTAAAACTTTATCACGAAATAGGATATTTTAAAAAATTACTTCTACAGACACTTTTAATTTCTACTTAGAAATAGATAAATTTATTTATTATAAAGGAGACAAACGAAAATTTATGTGAAAAACACAAATATTTGTTTTATTTGGGTCTTTAATAAAAAAAAAGCGACGAAACACAATTTTAAAGTGCATTTTTATTCAATAAATATATTTATAAATAATATGTAGCCCAAAATGTAGCCAATGCGTTAAATGATATTTTTTACGCCAAACTAAAAAAAGGGTAGCCAAATTTGGCGCAAAGTAGCCAAATCTTGCAATGCTGGAAGGAATACTAAATAATGCTGGAGTTGGTATTCAAAAGATTATAGACCCACATTCGGAAAAAGGACAGAAAGATCAAAAAATAAAGAAGTGAGAAAGGTTGAATAGACCTTCTGTTATGCAAATATTGATCCTTAATTTTCCAACCTTTCTCAATTTTTTTTTTTTTTTTTTCCTTTCTCTTCTTTTTCCGAATTTGGGGCTATAATCCTTGAGTCACGACTTCAGCTTTATTTAGTATTCCTTCCTCATTCACACATTTCAAGTATTTGAAAATATTTCCTTTCTATTAAAAAATAAAATATGTATAAAGGTTTAGGGCTTTGTTAAACTTCTTTTTTGAGGTTTATGCCGTTGAAATAAATAAATAAATAATAAAAAAAATTTGTCGGTTTTGTTTACACGTTTATTGGGCCGCATTGGAACTTGCCTTGGGCCGCGGGTTGGACACCCCTGCTTTACCTTAACTTAACTAAAAGTGCCCGTTATCCGGAAGGAAGTGAAGCGAAAGAAATGACCTAAATTAACCTTTAACCTCTTTAAAAATGCAAAATACAGTAAAATAGAAAGCAGATTTAAAGTAGAATCACACATAATTGTGTGTGATTGACGTTTATTTACAATAATACAGTCTAAGACAAAATTTTGTCTGGATATTTGGAAAATTAGCAGAAGCTGTTCTACAAATTCAATTCTTTCGTTGATTAATGGTAATGAGTCAGAAAGTTTTAGATTTTAACGATGATATCGAAAACTTAATTTTTAATTACAATTCAGAGGTAGATTCTAGGAACAATAATTGTTAACCATATACCACGTGGGTTTTCATAGGTACGAACTATCACGTGAGTTAATGACGTGCTACTCCTAGACTTTCTTGAGTGCACGCTAACAATAGAACTGAGTTTGCTTGTCTGTCTTTGTTACTCGCTCTAAAATTCGAGTGAAATTAATGTGGATATTTATTATTTGATATTGATTGATAACATTCTATTCAAGAAGAAGAGGTAAGTGTTTTTTATTATATAAATTTTATGAATTTATTTATTTATGCAAATATAAATTCAAACTCGACGATTTCAAAATCTTTCATTGAAAACAGATCGTTGACATACAAGAACATTTTAAACTGAGAAAATGAAGATAAAAGTAGAGCCAGAAACAGAATATTCAGAATTTACATTCAACGGAGGTGATGAAAAGTTTGAAGTTTTAAATAATTTCAAGAAACAATTTAATACGGATACAAAAACATTTTGTAGAAGAATTAAATCAGAACCTTTAGAACATAAAAATATACAGGTGAGTAAAATGTACTTTTGTATACGACTCTAGAGTTGCTTTAAAATGTGTTCGGGACTTTTAAGTTCCGCCAGGCTTAAAATAGTGGGACTCTACTCAAGGTCGCTCCTATCTTCCATTAAAATCATTGAGATGGACGATGATCGGAAGACTAATCATCACAAAATAAAAAAAACCTAAACTTATTCCTTAACAAAATAATCCAGCAACGAGTTGCGTAACTTTTCCGGCAAAAAAAACGTTAAAATTGTATGTGGCACCATCTGTTAGTATAAAAAGGTTTTTAAATAGAATTCCCTATTAGTTATAAAATGGCAAAAGCTTAACTTCGAGAGTAAAGATGAGTTTTATAAAAAAAAAAAAAAATTGTAAATTTTAACAAGTAAAATTTTTTGGATTGAGAAAGTCTTAAAACGTGGATATCTTGTTAAATTTGACCCTCAGTTTTTGGACAAATTTAACAAAATCAGACTCTATACTTTCGCATTTCATATGCATATAAGACTTATTCTGATTGCAAAAAACAAGATACAATTAACGAGCAATTCTTCATTGTGATATGGTCGCAATGCCGTGCTATTTTTAATGATATTTTTAATTAATTTAATTTAAAATATATGCTCGCCACCTGAAATTAGTAATGGCTTGCCCTGCAAAGCCGGCCCTATCATAGGGCGAATGGAGCAGCCGCTCCAGGCGCTAAGTCCTAGTGGGCGCCTCAGTGGTAAAGAAAATTAAAGGGTATAAACTAGGGGCAACCGAGAAGGCGCCATAATAGGATCTCGCACCATCCTAAAACTTGCCGCGGGCCGGCACTGTTGCCCTGTATATTATACTTTTCTTGTTAGTAATAGAGTCGTGCCGTTTCTGTATTTAAGGAAGGAGAGTCAAACAGGCAGAGAAAAGGATAACTGACGAAAGTGGGAATTAATAGGTTTACAATTTTTTTCAAATTGCAGCCGAATTATTAATAAACTACATTTGATGTATTTATATAATTTGGCTGAAATTTGAATAGATTATGAACAATTACATTTCCACTGTCGTCCGTCCGCGTGTCTTTCTTTTCTCAATTTCGAGTACGGAAATACAAGGACATCGAGACCAGATATGGAAACCACAAAGAAAGGAAGCCTCGATTAACTATAGAACTTTCGACTCAATCCAGAACTCACGTTATTTCAATTCAAATTTTCTCCTGAAACGGCACGACTATATTGTTAAAGGAATAGTATGATGCACCGGCACAAGCTACTACTAATTTGAAGCAGAAAGTATTTATTTTAAATTAAATTAATTAAAAATCTGATTAAAACTGTAGCCCAGCATTGTCATTATGTCACAATAAATAATTGCTTGTATTGTGAATGAATTTCTATAATTTCACAATGAAAATAATGAAACTAACACATTAGTAAGCCATAATTTAAATAAATATATTCATTAAATGAATTTTTATTTTCCAATTTAAATACTTTTTATTGATTTTTCTATAAAAATCAATTTGTCTGATAATATAACGTAGTCTTTTATTATTTCAGATAAATATTAAAGGAAAACCAATTTTCACGAACACAAACGGGTCCACTATTTGGAGTCATTCTGGTTATAAAATCGAAAGAGGTAAAAGGCTTAATGCTAAAAAAAACATTAAGCTTCTTAATACTTTTAATACTGTGAAACAGTGGCGGGCCGTGACATTTGATGATAGGGAAGATGTGTTTCTGTAAGAAGTAGACTTCCAGGGGCAATCAGTTAATTGCGAATCATTGATGGTCCAGGATCCGTTTGTATCGTTTGTTCGATAAGCCAGTAAAAACAGTAGACTTCTCTAAATGTATTTTTAATACCACAATTACATTCTGAATCGCTAACCACGACATAAGGGCTAAAATTAAACATAAAATAATAAAAACTTACTTGGTGAAATAAAATGTGTGGTGGATGTACTGTACATACCAGGTACAAAATATTCTTCAATTGTATAAATATATTTATGAATTATACAATTAAATATAACTTTGTAAAGAAACGTACATAAAAATAACAAAATATTCTTTACATTTTAAATCTTAAAACAATCCTCTTAGTCAAATAACTCCCTACGAGTGGCAAATGGATGGAATCACAGACGGTTGCAGTGCGTGCATACACGCGGACTGCCAAATCCCCAGGGTGCCGTTACCGGTCAATGTCAAGCACCTCTTTTGTCGCATCACTAGTATACCTCAAAGACGCGTCCTTTGAGGTTACTTTTCTCACCATAGCTGTAAAACTCTACATATGTTAAACTTAATAGATTGTCCGTCGTTTGTTTTCTAACTAATTCGTTTTAGGACCAGGTGATGTCCACAATAATTTCCAAAATTTACAACTTTTCGGTCACTTTCGTTGAACTGGAAAAATTTCTGTCTTTATTACATCTAATATTACGAAGAAATCAGTCCACACTATACTTGATTAAGCTTTTGTTTAAATAAATAAAATTCCAGCTCTTTCAACAGGATTTTATTTCGTCTCCAATTCCCTAATTGCTTAATTATTTAACTACTTCTTAAGTAGAAATAAATCGAAATCAGTTACTTTGTACTCGAATATTTGTAGTCTTGGGAAAAAAGTGGAAAGACAGATTTTTATGACAATTTTTATGATAAATCGTAAATTTAAGGAAAATAAATTGTACAGCTTTCTCTGTACCTCGTGCATCTCTCTCATTCATTAAATTTAGTTGTAAATGACGCTGCCAAAGTAACAGTTGATTTTTTTAACATTATACAATAATTATACACGTTTTTTTTCCTATATCCCCATAAAGATGGGACGTACAAAATCGTAATATCACTGGTTTATCATTGAAATCCTTAAGTAATAAAAGATGAGAGAGCGGAATAAAAATATCGAATATTTTAATGGATTTTTTAAACTCCTGTCAACTATACAGAACTATCGTATAAATATACCAGTAAATTCCTATCGGTTGGGTTAAGTTATAAATCTACTCGCGATTCCCATAATGGGGCGAGGGCGCCCAGAACTGGTCCTGGATAGAATCATCGAAAGCATTTTGGTGTGTTGCTTCCATCAGTTAAAATTAAAATAATCGTGCAATATGTAAGTTAAATGTTAATTAATAAAAATATGCTAAGTTTTATTTTATATTTCTAGTTTTTCTTAGAATCCTTTAACACGGAAACTTTATAAATTCCACTACAGAAATCAAGAAAGAAGAAGTAAAAGAGAATTGTGATGTAAAATATGCTATAAAATCAGAATGTAAAGTTGTTTTGAAAAAATTGAAGATTGAAGTAAAGACTGAAGACTGTAAAGAAGTTGTTCATCTTCCAGATGATAATGAACAGATAATGGTAAGTAATTCAAATTTCGAAATATTTTACAGTGAAATTTTAATATTAACTTAGCTTTCTGAATGGTTGAAAACATAGCTCAATATCACTAATGTAGGTTAAAATTAGGCTTTGAATTTAAATGTATTCTGTATTAAATAAAAAAAAATAATAAGTATTATATAAGAAAAAGTGTAGCAACGAGTTGCGTAAGTTTCCTGGTTAAAAGATTTTATGTAAAAAATAACATTTATATTATTACGTTTGTGAGCCGCCGGGGAGAGAAGAGGTTCCTCTCTTTGCCGACCACAGGTCAGTGACCTACATTCTTGTCTAGGATGGCGTTACGTTCCGTTACGCGTTACGCGTTACGCGAGTGGAGGAGAGTCGGAGGGGACGACGATAAGGCGTTGGCAAAGTCGAGTGATCACACCGTTTAATAAAATAAAAAATTTACAAAACACCTTCGACTTCGCGGATGAGAGAGAGAGAGAGAGGTAAATTTACAATAATATTTCATATTTCTGAGATAATATCAGATGAATATTCTTCTTTAATGGGTTCGAAAAGCGGTGCAAAGTCTTCCAATTACGGACGTGCAGTAGGTACAAGGGGAAGATATGGTTCGTCTTCGTCGTTGTTCGTTTGATCGGCGACTCCCCCGATTGGGGAAAGGAGGAGTGCTTTTATACGTTTTCTGGTGGGAAAATTCGTCAGGTGTGAGGTTAAAGATGGCGTTAGAATGATAACAATATGACGAATTTCGCCCGTAATTGTAAACTCTACACGGTTGATCGTGAGAATGTTTATAGTTAAATAGAAAGAGTTATAAATTTCTCATGCACTTTATATTTCGTTTCCGTTTTTGTAGGGTCAAATTCCTCTAGTTCAGGGGTGTCCATTGGCTACATTTTGGGCTACATATTATCTATAAATATATTTATTGAATAAAAATGCACTTTAAAATTGTGTTTCGTCGCTTTTTTTTTAATTAAAGACCCAAATAAAACAAATATTTGTGTTTTTCACATAAATTTTCGTTTGTCTCCTTTATAATAAATAAATTTATCTATTTCTAAGTAGAAATTAAAAGTGTCTGTAGAAGTAATTTTTAAAAATATCCTTTTTCGTGATAAAGTTTTAATACTTATTACTATAATCTAGACATGTAAATCCTTAAATATACAAGTATATTTAAGGATTGGGCTACAATAAACTTGTGGCCCAGAACTCCACGACTTCTTCCAATGTGGCCGAAAGAAACAGAAAGGTTGGACAACCCTGCTCTAGTTAAAGGAATTTTATTTAAATTTATTAAAAATGTAAAGGATTAACTTTGTTTATTAAATTATATGACCTGCGAATTTCACACGTTATAGTCAACCTTATCCATTTTCACAGAATTCATCGTTTCCCCCTGTTTCCGGACTAATTAGAAAATATTTAGATGAGTCTAAAAGTATGTTCGATTTTTTGCAAAACGAAAAAAAAAACCGCATCTGCGTCTTGCACGTCACTTTCTCTTAGCAATTCCATTGTTACGTAACACTTCCATTGTCGAAACCTTAATTCTGTCTCTCTCCCCCCGGGGAGAATTTCGAAAAATCCCTTCTTAGTGTGCGTTTTCGTGACGTACCCTAACTGTGTACCAAATTTCAACGTTCAAACTCCTAACTGTTTGGGCTCTGCGCTTATTAGCATCATCAACTCGTCTCGATTATATATATAGATTAGTGATGTGCCGGATCGTTAAAAATGTATATCCGCGAATACGGATACGGATACGGATATGGATCTCAACTTTCGTACTCAGTCGGCGCCGGTGCGTGTGACCTTGGAGCGATATTTGACGCTTTGCGTTAATAACGCGACGTGTTTTTGTTTATGGTGTAAAAGTGTGCTAAATTAGAATTCACCACAAAGGCAGACAGGATAAAGTAACAAAAATTGATATAATTTTCCAATTAAGCTATTTCGAGTCTTTATACGGATTCTATTTCGGGGGATTCCAACTTCACAGTACAAACAGTAGCATGCGAAATTACAGCGATAATAATAGTTCGCTGTATCCAAAGCACGTGTACAATACAGATCCCGATCGCGACAATATAACCCGGAACCTTAAAACTAACCTTAAACACTAACTTAACACTAATAACAGAAAAAGGGATAGAATTAAGAAGACAGAAAAAAAGGTAGATAAGATAGAAATACGGATATCTGGAGTTTTGTCCCTTTTTTCGGCTTGTTTCTTTATGCGTACTGTTGGGTGGGATAACACACGTCCTTCTCCTATAACTGGCCAGTTCTCTTCTTCAATAATTAGGATTTTTCCTTCCACAGTCGTCAATACGACCTTAAAACAGGATCTTTTTTCTGAACTTATTTCTGAACTATCCGGTCATTGAAAATACGACTCCCAGTATTCTCACCTCGTCCGTACACTCTGCCGTCCGGTTTACGAATGACCTGCTACGTCACTTCTCTTTTTTCTCCGGCTCCTGTTTACACCTTTGCTCCTCAAATTTCTAGGAACTGCTCATCCCACCCAAGGGACAGGGAATAGATAAGAAAGTTCTAGAAGAAAATAGAACAATAGAACAAAGGGTAGAAAGAAGAAACGAAACTAAACTAAAATTAATATTTACAAAAATATAGCGTACCGCCACAATAGTTTAGTGCAGTGTTTCCCAACCTTTTTTGTGCTATGCCCCACCTAAGCCTTTCTAAAATTCTTATGTCTCCCTAACATATACAGCGGCTATACGGTTAACTTAAACTCTGGACAAGTCCATTTTCGAATTGCCCTCCTTAGCAATCCAATTGACCTCTGTGGGGTGTGGGCCCCACGTTGGGAAACACTGATTTGTAGCTAGTGTGACACGGGATAGCAAAGATTACGTTTGTGTTTTTGGAGAGTGTTGAGTTAAATTAAAATAAAAACAATGTCGACAAAAAAATTTAGTAGTGTAATATGGAAATATTTTACGATAGTAAATGACGAATGTGCTATTGCTACTTATGTTTAAAATTTCATATAAGTAATGAAATTCATTAAGATAAAAGATCCGTTAAAGATCCACTAAAAAGTAACGGATACGGATACGGATCTTTTTTTCCTCGGATATCCGCGGATACGGATATCCGGCACATCACTAATATAGATGGAAAAATGCTTAATTTTAATGGTAGAAATGCATTTCACGAAGAATTATAGATGCTAACAAGAAATAAAATCTTTATTATGTCCGATCCAATTCTAGATTTTACACGTTACCATTCTTTATCATGTTTTATTACTAAAATTTAATTGCATTAATGCCCCTTTTACACAATGTACAGTACGAAATTTCGATTCTTCATCTTTATAAAAAATTGAATTTTGACTATTTACAAAAAATTTTTTAATTTTTCGAGTCTATCTTTCATCCTTTTAACACACCACAGAAGTAACAGTATATTCGCTTGGATGAACTTCCACAGAACACGTGATAAATTATAACGAAACACACACAAAGTTAAAAACGATCGAAACGCCGACCTTTTATTTGAGGATTCGGCGTTTTTTAACATTAAAACAATGGTTACCATTTCTGACCATAACTACCATGTTCTTTAGCACAATATATAACTGGTTCAGTTATATATTGTGCTAAATCTTCATCTTTAATTTACTATATTGTGCTAAATCTTCATCTTTAATTTATTTTGAAATAATAAATAAAATAGACGCTAAAATAAACTCCCCCCACACATATTCACGATATTTTTTGCCATGTATTTTGGGTGTAGAATATCTTAAATTTGCAAAAAATTACAGGGTGAAAATTGACCAGATTTCAGTACTTTTAGGGATGTTAAGTATGCTATGCATACTTAAGTATGCATAGCATACTTTTAGGGATGTTAAGTACCATACTTAACATCCATACTTAACATCCATATAGGGATGTTAAGTATGCTATGCATACTTAACATCCCTAAAAGTATAAGTATATACAAGATAAAGTAAAAAGGGAATTTCAATATTAAATTTATATATGTAAATTGTAGTGTTTGAAACTTTTCTCAGTTGGTAGTTTGAGTATTTTTGCTTTTTTGTGCACGATAAATTAGAAAATAAACGATGAGTTTTGATTTTAGACTTATCGAAGGGTTGGTCAGGTCCACAATGGATGCGGAAACATGTTGAGCATTACCGGACATACAGGCGAACCTCAGATTTACGAAACCCTTGGCAAAATTTATATTGTGACCCATTAAGATGACGATAGTACAAAATATCAGATTTATTTATTATTTCTAATACTGTGAAGATATTAATTAGATAAACACATATTACAACAAATTAGTAAACACAGCAATCTCTAATTGTATCTAGTTGTGAAGTAGCAGTTGATTATTAGAAAACAATAGAGAGGTTGCGGCCGAAGTTTTCATTGCTGAAATATGAACGTCGAACGTCGAGCGCCGCCATCTTGTAATCCTAGAAGTTTGACAATTGCGTTTGGAACGTCGAACGTAGCGAGTAGAAATTCAGTTTAAACATTAGCCTTTTCTGTGTTTTGGGTTAAATTTATGACGTATTTTATTAAAATAATAATTATTTAAGCATTTGTGAATAACATTGTAAAGAAACAGACGATTTTAATTCAGAAATTATTCAATTACTAGCTGCAAGGACCCGCTTCGCTGGGTTTTTATTTTGGGCAAAAAGTAACGATAGTGAAGATTAAGATAATTACATTATAGCCAATCTTACCCGTTTTCACGGAATGCAAGAATTAGATCCCCGTTTCCAGACTAATTAGAGACCTAGTCCCGATTCTATTTCTAATCGTCTTCTGTTCACGTCCAGTCAAACGAACTACAGGTAACCCCCGTATAACACGGTACTGTTATAGCACGGATTCACTCTGACACGGTTCGAGAATTGGGTAAAACGTTCGTACATCATGAAATATAATAAATTTTTACATACTTAAGTACTAATAGTTCACGAAAATTATTATTTTCGTGAA